ATACAATTTGTCTAGAATTTCACCCTGTTCAGTGTAGCATTGAAATACATGGGGCTTGTTCAGAAGGATTAACTTGGACTCTGACAATATAATTGTCATGGTATTTTTCTTCAAAGTGGTGCAGTGGGATACAGTATCTTAAGGGAGTTTGATGGGAGAGGAAGGCATATGGGGAAGGGGTCAATAAACACGGGGCATTGCTTTAGCTTTTTAAAGACATTGACTTGTGACATAGCAACAACTAAAGCAGGGAAATAATCAGATGGAAAAACATCTTCATCTACTGTCTATTAATCTTCTCAAAATGCAATAAATACCCATGGCTATGACTATACAATGGGGGCATAATAAGTGGCAGTCTAAGACTTTAACACCTGCATCTTAACAAATCTGAGGGTTTCAAAACAATTGTTTGAAGGACATGTGTCAAACTCTTTGCTGCCAAAGATGAACTGAGACCAGATGTATCTCAGTCACAATAACAGTGCAATGTGTTTAAACTACAGGGCCTATTTTCAGCCTAATCAAACTCTGAAAATGAGTGTTTTGTGCTCAGCACAGATAGTCATCATTTCTCTTTGTAATATAATGTGCAAAACATAAAAGTTGTGAATTATGTCCACAGTTTTCTCTGCAAAGTGGCCATAGTAATGCAGAAACCGCTTGTTTTTAATTAACCTTCTTCACAATTTGTTCCTCGTTGATATGCTTTACATCAGAACTTGCCATGTCTGGCACACACAGTCGTTCCTCCTAATAAAAACTTTAATAGACAGTGGATTTTTAGTTAGTGTGACTGTATGTTTACATACATGACACTTTATTGTTTTTAACAGTTTCAGAATATCATTGTCTTGCACTAAGAATTAAAAAAAACATTAAGTATATTTATTTTCCTTACACTTTGATGGAATCTGGGCTGATTTGCTGAAATATACTGTTTGAATAAAAGTTCTGACAGGTTGACATGTCTGAACTCGACACTAATAAACAAAATGTAGTACAGGTATACCACAGTTAATGAAGTAGGTATGTTCCTGGGCATTGCTTCTTTAACAGAAAATTTGGTATCAGAGGAAGAAATAGCATGGAAGGAATAGGAATAGGTTCTACACTATAAGAAAGAAGAGTGATTCAACAAATTTTGGCAAACTCTTTCTTCAAAACGATCAATATGCTTGTTTGAAATGAACCTGGTGGTAAAGCTTGTACAAGAAACCAAAATGCATCCAATATTTTTTGAGACTGCCCACAGAATGTCACTAAAATGACCTAACATGGGGAATCTGATTGTTCCCATCCCATGTGTAAATAAGTGCCTTTACCTGTTTCTCTGTGAATTGGGAACTCTGAAGACAATTGCAACCTAACTCTTAAAACCTCAATTTCTACACATTTTTAAGATGGAGTCCCATGGGGAAAGGCCAGAAGTAATTTTGTGTCACACAATGGGCTCCATGGGACTCCATCTTTAAACTGCTTTTAAATTGTATAGAAATTGGGGGTGGGGGTTTGATGAGGTCCCCAGTAATTCTATGACAATTTATGATACCACGATAAATTATTTTCTTCACAACATAAAATGTATTAAGCATCAGTTTTCTTCTGTCTTCACTAGTGATTTGGAACTTCCTTGGTTATGGAAACACTGACTCCATGATCTTAATATCAGCACTCTCCGATTTTATTACTTGATTGCAAACTCTTGAAAAGCAGCTTTGCAATTGAGTGCCAACAATCGATTCCTGACAAGTTTGTTGGTAAAGAGGCATTGTTTACTTTGGATTCACAGAGTAACACCATTAGATGCAGTCTTCATCAGAGCATAACTTGGATTTTAATGGGATCGTGATAAAGCAATTGTATACATCTATTCAGCTCATAATTGTCAGTAAAGCTACTTGGTGTATAAACCAATTATAAAGAAAATGCTGGTTGCATTCTCGACATGTTTGGATACAAGAAAAGTTACAAAATTTAACATGGATTCTTACTGAAGGTTTTTTGAAGTACTGATAGCCACAGTCTATTAAAAAGTCATTATTATCCCATGTTCCTAAGAGGTTGTTGAGTCATTGTGCTAAAAGTCTGCATTAAGGCAATTAATGTGAATGACATCCCTAGACTTTATCAGCTCTTCTCTTTCAGTAATTCTCATGGTTCATTTCCTTGAAATTAGCAGAGCCAAAGACCTACAAGGAAACAGAAATAATGAATGAAATGTGTATAAAATAAACATAACATACAAATATGGGCATGAATGACACTGAAACCACATACTAAGTTCAGGGTAATCACAGTTCAAATATTCAACCAAGATACTTTCATTAAGGAAATTGAAATCAGTGTCTCAAAGCAACATGGAAGCAGCTGTGTGATAGTTTTGTTTATAAACTGAGAAAGAGGACAGATGGGTCTACCAGATCTTTCATCTTGTAGACTGTTAATTGGGGGAGTACTTGTAAGGACATTAAAAGGACAATGTTAATGAACTATGGCTGGAATCCAAACTAGGGGTCTAAAAGCAGTTCTTCATGCTGCCAGATAACTTTAGTGAAAGTTTTGGGGATAATCTCTGATAATGGCCCTGATACGGCATAAGGGAGAGGAAGTTGAAAATGGGAAGAACCGGTTAAGCTAGCGGTACTTACATGGAAGGACTTGCAAGTTCTTCTTAGGGGCCCCAGGGAGTATGCCCAATATTTAATATTAGTTGGAGCTGAACCCAGAAGAAACGGAAATGAAAACAAAGTCCTCCATGGAAGAAATCAAGCACTGTTATAAAATGAGTTTTACTGGAGTCCCTGTGCTAGCCAGGAAAAGAGAAGCAATCTAGAAAGGGAATTAATTAATTTCAGACATCATCACAGAAGCCAGTCTTGCAGCTGTATTGGAGACTTTTCTCTGAGTTTTCAAGAAAATAAGGAAGCAGGAAAAATTTACCAGCCTTCCTCAGTAATCATAGCACTTTCTGGCTTGCCAACTTCATGTCTTCACAGGCCATTGGGGATTATACAGCAATGGTCACGGCAGTTCCAGCCTTGTGTTTTGTTGCTAGAGAGCGTAATTCTCCCAGCTAAGCAAGGTCATGCCAATAAATATTTTTTTAAATCCCCAAGATTATTAAAATTAACTTGATTTAGATGTAGGGAGTTGATATTTATTTTACAATTAAATCAGTAAATTTAATCATTACAATGTTTAATAAAAATAAATGTAATGCAATATTAATGTGAATTGACTATATTAAAATTATGTCAGAAATCATGTTTGTAGGTATGGGTAGTGAAATATTATAGGAGGATTTCCTATTCTTGTGTGTGTGTGTGTGAGAGAGAGAGAGAGAATATGTATGTTTTATAAAGAAAAAAATCAGTCTTTGAATACTTGGCCAACTGGAGTAAAGCCCTTGGGCCTGGCTACCCTTGTTTTAAGCCATGATTCAGGAACTGGGCACAATGAAACTAAATGCTAGTTTCTACTTCACCTCAACTGAGAAAGAAGAGCACATGCTCTTGAGACTTTGCTTGCACTATTTTCTACTCATGGCACTAAACCATATAATATCTTGGATAATAGTAGAGCAGATCCAATGAAATGGGCGCAATCTGTGTTGATGAAAACGGCTTGAATCCCATTGACTTCACTAGTCCTGTTCTATATATGGGCAGGTCTAGATCCATTTTTTTGGTTAGAGATCTTGCTTGTATCAATGTATATTAAAATGGAGATTGTACAATAATGCATTTATTTTTAAGGCATTTGGAGGGTGGTTTTTGCTATTTATACATCCAGGCTCTAAAATGCTATTCTTATTCTTTCTTTCTTTCCTTCTGTTTTGGAAGGAAGCTTTTCCACAAACTGCTTCTGGAATTTCTATTACTACAGTGCATGAATTCATAGCTAAACAAACATAGATAAGGGTAAAGGTTTCCCCTTGCCATTAAGTCTAGTTGTGTGCAACTCTGGAGGGTGGTGATCATCTCCATTTCTAAGCCAAAGAACCAGTGTTGTCTGTAGACACCTCCAAGGTCATGTGGCCAGCATGACTGCATGGAGCCCTATTACCTTGATCTACTCACATTTGCATGTTTTCGAACAGCTAACAACAGGTCATCCTCGCTCCCTGGATTCGAACCTCTGACCTTTCAGTCAGCAAGTTCAGCAGTTAAGCAGTTTAACCCACTGCACCACAAAGGCCTCTTGAGGGCTAAACTTATAACTACACAAATTAAGGTAGCATAAATAAATAATGAAAGAAGGGTATTTAGGCACTTCTTGTTTTGTTGTTATTGTTGTTTTGCCCTATATATTCCACACAAAATGATACATTTGTGTCAGTGAAACAGTCCCCATATGAGGCCGGGGGATTCTGGGTGCTGTAGTCAGACACATAGGCATGATGCCAAGTTGAGAAGACTAAAGCTACAATATGTTAGCAATGATGAACAGACCACCATCATTGTGAGAACAAATATAGCTTCCTCCAGGGTAAAACAATCTTTTACATATTACACAAGCAATTTAACTGAATTCTGCACATATTGCCAAGACAGTGGGAGCTGGCACTGTGTTTGGGGGCTTGGATAGTCAGATTTTAAGTGACTGCTGATTGTAGAGCTCTTTTTTCAGTGTCTTTCGCATACAGCGAACAACATAGTAATCCAGCAAAGAATTTTCCACAGCCCTTAAGCTTGTTTTCATATGTTCCAAAAGATTACATTCAGGAATCAACTCCATAAAAGTGGAGTAAGGAGGCTTGTGTATCAAGAGCTCCACAAAACAATTGTTCTGTTCCTAGCTCTCAAGGAGCAATCCAGATGAAATGTTTTATAATCCTTTTTTGTGCTGTAGTCAGAAGAGAAAAAAAAGGAAGGGAAGAAAGGAGCCAGGCAAAGATTACTCACAAGGGAGGGGGGAAGAAATGGGGGGTTCTCTCTTAAACACAATGAGGAACATAATTAACTTCACAATTCTTTGTGTTTTTCATTTGACTGCAGGGTGGAGATGAAAGAGGTCTCTTAAGCCTTGCATTCCATCCCAATTACAAAAAAACCGGAAAGCTTTATGTGTCCTATACCACCAACCAAGAGCGATGGGCCATTGGCCCACATGACCATATTCTTAGAGTCGTAGAATATACCGTTTCCAGGTATGTATTTCAACTACAATTTCTGCTGCAAATCCCTGGGGTGGTGTAATTTAGAATACTTACCTTGTTTGCCTTCTATTTTTCAAATTCTCAAAATGTTGTTTTTCTGCTCCTTCACACACTGTTATATAGGAATTGGGAGTCATATCTATATCCTCTCAGAAAACATCAGTGATACTAATGCATTCTAGTCATGAGATGCTGACAGCATGAGCAAATTATCTTATTTTGTTCCCTCCCTAAATTATCCTTATGCTCATATATGCATCAAAGGACATTTAGTTTAATGCCAATTTTTTTAACTTTGAGTTTTTAAATACATTACAACTGTACCCTCAATTTGCTTCTGACATGATAGATAGATAAATAAATAAATAGCACAACCTGATATTAGAGCCTGGAACTTTCTCCCTAGTCCTCATAGGAAGGAAGAAGTATCTTACAATGGGAATGCCCTCTTGAAAAGAGTATGTATGTGTTCTATGTGTATTTTATCAGAATGGCATATTCTATGAAACTTCAATTGGCACTTCTAATATTAGATTTAATTGCATTTCCAGGGGATTCCTGGCAGGGCCCATGTTCTGTTCTAGATATTACAAAGGGCTGATTCTAAATCTCAGGTCTTGTCCCAATAATCTCAAGTGTCTGTAATAGTAATGACTTGGCAACCTCCTCCATAATTAGGGGTATAGTTCTTCACTAAATTTATTCTTAAAGGACACCAATAAAGAATTTTAGCCATTTTCTTCTGCTGCAAGAAAGTATTTGAAAACAACGCAGTTTTAAGGGCTATTTGAAAAAAATGTTTTATGCAGAAAAAGAAATGTTAATCACTGCATTGAAAATGTTATTTTCTGCACAGAAAATGCTGTAATTGAGGATTTATTCTGCATAAAATTCACACAGTTGATTTGCATAGAAAACAGCTAATTCTGTACAGAAAACATCGTTTTCTACACATGTGTTAATATTTATGCTATAAAATATTATGTCCATTCAGAAAAGACTTTCCTGTGTAGAAAAATATTGATTTCTGCACAGTCCAATCACATGCAATTTTTTCACAGATTAAAACTCAAACTGTGAAGACTCTTGTCAGTCTAGGGTTTTTCTTGTCAGTTTCTCAATGGCCGAAAACATGTTCAAATATTTTCAAATATTATTTCCATAATATAGAATACAATCAGGTTGCTGGTATACAGGTGTTTTGAAGTTAAGCTACTTAGTCATTGGAAAATCTGCAACAAAAACTAACAGCCTCATCATAAAGATTAGGCAAAGCCTAGCATCTAGGAGGTAAGAGAGCAGCAGGGCAAATTTGTCATCCCGTATGCAGCTCCCTCTCTGCTACTTTCCCCATTACATGGGGGAAGTATTATATTAATGGTGCTATCTTCTTTGTGCTCATGTAAAGATTAGGAGGATGAAGTAATAGGAAGAGGAGGAGATTTGTGGTCCCATACCATGTGTTTTCTTAATGCCTGGCTTACAGACCTGGGGTCTCACGACAATATGGAGGAGGCACCCCTGTTCCATTGCATACATTGTAGAAACCACCTTTCCTAATCTTCATTTTCTCCATGGAGTCCTTAGAAGCCAGGAAACAGACAGCACAGAGCCCAGCAGCCTTCTGTTCTTCTCATAGTTGCTGCCACGTCTTTCTCCCTTTCCCCAACACTGCGATTGTCACCATCTCCACTGTCATACTTACACTGGCAGCAGAGGCTATAGGACTCCACTAGAAAAAAACAAGGAAAACTGACCTAATAATATCATGTTTGCAATCAACATAGTGTAGAATGCTCTCTAAGGACATCTGTCTGGACAGTTGTCTTACAACCTCATCATTCAGGTCTAGATTTGGCGGTTTGCCGATCACTCACTGTCACTCACTGAGCTTGCCAGCGCTAAACACATGATGTGCCAGCTCCATGTGTTAAAATGTTTTTTAATGTATTGTCGAAGGCTTTCATGGCTGGAATCACTCAGTTCTTGTGGGTTTTTTCAGGCTATATGGCCATGTTCTAGAGGCATTTCTCCTGACGTTTCGCCTGCATCTATGGCAAGCATCCTCAGAGGTGAGCCCGAAAAAACCCACAAGAACTGAATATTTTTTAATGTTTATGTATTGTACCCAGGCATTGAATGTTTGCCATGTATATGTTGTGTTTCGCTCTGAGTCCCCCTTCGGGGTGAGAAGGGCGGAATAGAAGTGTTTTAAATAAATAAATAAATGAGTGAAGGAGATCAGAACTGGTGTGCCACCGCCACCCTGGTAACCCAGGAAGTTTCCCATGTTGTCATTCCTTCAATGGGAAAAGTTGTGCATACCATGTGTGGGCCATGCGTTCCCCTGTGTGAAGAGCTGCCAGAGGAGCCGGGCAAAGTGTGGTGTGTGGCAGTGGCTTCCCAATTCCCAGTGGTGAACTGGAGTGCTGCCAAGAGCAGCTGCTGAAGGTATGATGAGGTGGTTATAGCACCGGCTTTTAGATATATCTTATCATCCAGTTAATAATACCTAACCCACCTATCTATCATGTATCTACTTTTGTCCAGGATGCAGCTTCCAGTATTCTTTCTTAGGTCTATCCTCCATATTACTTGACTATCTCCCATCCTGGTATTAGTGAGGCCCATACCCAGTAAGCTTCTGAAATCAGAGGAAATGACCAAAAGATTATGAGACACCACTCTAAATTATTGGCAACTACTACAGGCTACACTGCCAAGTTTATGGGGATATTAGATAACGTTTATTTTGTAGCAAAGTGTCTGTCCAAAGCCTTCTATCCCTGACATACTATATGTATGTAAAAATGTTGCTATGGTGCATGTAAAATATATGGAACACAATTTGAACAGAAATATGTAACTGGAGTTAGTTCTGTTTTCTTTTTCTGTGGTGCAGGAAAAATCCACATCAAGTTGATACAAGAACAGCAAGAGGTTTTCTAGAAGTTGCAGAGCTACATAGAAAACATCTTGGAGGACAGCTGCTATTTGGTCCTGATGGATTTTTATACATATTCCTTGGTGACGGGATGATCACAATAGATGACATGGAGGAGATGGACGGTCTAAGGTATAGTTATTACAATCGGATAAGTTTTTGAAAAATACAAAATTCACAATCTAATTCATTACTAAACATGTGGGCAAATCCTGTACCCTACCCCATGTCACAGGCCAGAGTCATAGATCTGGAAATATTTTTTTAAATAAATGTAGCTGCTGTGTTATTCTTATCCATTATTTGCAAAATCATGGTTAAATTCTACAAAATTGCAAATTCTCTGTAGTGCTATTTTAAAACAATCTTTGTAGCACTGCATAAAAATAAACATTTTAGTACTTGTTCTTAGTACATTTTTATACATTTCCTGAAATTAATGGTGTTGTCCTTCAACTTCTTCAGTGATTTTACAGGTTCTGTGTTGCGCCTGGATGTTGACACAGATTTCTGCCATGTGCCTTATTCCATACCACGAAGCAACCCACATTTTAACAGCACCAATCAACCCCCTGAAATTTTTGCCCATGGACTCCACAATCCAGGCAGGTAAGTGGGTATAATGAAGGAAACCTAATAATTGGAATAACAACCCAATGTAGATCATTGTTCTTCATGAGCAATTTTTTTATACAGTAGTCTCGCTTATCCAACATAAACAGGCTGGCAGAATTTTGGATAAGCGAAAATGTTGGATAATAAGAAGGGATTAAGGAAAAGCCTATTAAAGGTCAAATTACATTAGGATTTCACAAATTAAGCACCAAAACATCATATTTTACAACAAATCAAAAGAAAAATCTATTCAAAACACAGTAACGTTTTGTAGTAATTAGTATATTTATGAATTTAGCACCAAAACATTGCAATTTATTGAAACAGCTGTGAATCTGGGTGGGAGGCAGGCTGTGTTGGATAATACAGAATGTTGGATGAGCATAGGTTGGATAAGCGAGACTCTACTGTATATATTTTGAACATGGTTGACATCAAGGAAGAAAGATGATCTCCACCTACCCCTACACCATATAGTTTTGGAGCAGTATAGAGATAGACTGTTCCTAAGGCCTCATCTGTACTGCCATATAATGCAGTCTGAAAATGCAGTTTAACTTCATTGAACTGCACTGAACTGCAGTATATGAGTTTCAAACTACTTTATATAACAATGTAGATGGGACTGACACAAAGTGATGAGGAGAACATTGTCATAGCAATGTTCAGCATCTAATTCTTGTCTATAACTTCTGGCGTAGTGAAAAAAACTCTGGAAAAAAATTGTCTCCTTGCATATTTAACAATATATGCCAAACCAAAGAAATAATTATAACCTAGGCAGCTAAATCATGTTAAACATAGCTTAATAGGAACTAGTACAACTATTTACTTTCTTTCAGCTAAAAACAACATAAGCAAAGGCATGTAGCCAGGAGGGAGGGGCTTGAGGGGCTTCAGTCCCCCCCCCCAAATTCTCAGGGTGGTCCGCGAGAAGGCCTTACTGGTACATTATTTAAACTGTTATGTTTATTCATATCATGATCTGATCACCATGATCAATATATCCCATATGCATGGGGGTATTGGGGTAATGATACAAAAGGTTTGCTAGGGTAGATCCTCAGCCCCCCTCCCCAAAATCAAACTCCCCCCCCCCCCCCCCCAATCAAAATCCTGGTTAGGGGCTTGCCTGCACATAAAGGTGAAAAACATTATTTTGATGCATAAACCAAAGTAACTAAAGATGATCTATATAATTTTGCTTCTATTACCATGTTTCTGCACAGGTGTGCTGTGGATCGCCACCCAATTGATGTGAACATTAATTTAACAATACTTTGTTCAGACTCTAATGGGAAGAATAGATCTTCTGCAAGAATACTTCAGATAATTAAAGGGAAAGATTATGGTAAGTTCTATATAACATACAAAGTATTGTACAGAATAGTCTTCAGGAAATGTACCTAATATTGAGACTGCGTAGAACATTCCATAACTATGATATACATGTCACATATAAAAGAGACCAAAGAACAGACTCAAAAATATTTTGATATATTTTATAGCGCTAGAACTCTCATTAAAGGCATATTAGCCAATTAACTGAAAGGTTTACACAAAGCGTAACGTAACGTAAGTTTTATGTGCATATCTTTCCATATAAGTAATTCCAATTTATTTTCTAAACCTTTTGGGAAAAAATGGATGATGTAATTTTATATGATGTGACGTGTCATCAAAGTAACATATATAATCTTGAGAAATAAACTGAAAATAATTAACAGGTTTTAAAAATATGCTATCCTGCCAAATTAATCAATAAATCAGGAGATATTTAGGGTACAGTCCAGGGAGGGTGTTCATGAGGCCATAGGGTATTACAGACCTCAATCCCATTGGTAATATTACTCAAAGCAATTTAGCAGAGATAACAAGGTTGGCTAATGCTTTAGTTGCCACATGTATGCGTCAAAAACTATTTGTATCCAGTTGCTTCCAGTTGGGCTGTTCTGATATATTTTTGTGCAAACTATCAAGTCTTGTCAACCTTGAGAGCCTCTTTCATTTTAAAGGCTTCCAATCCTATATTAACAGATACAAGTTTTTGAAATAATCCAACAATGATCATAGCGTGGTGCAGAATTATGTGCAGTTAGTTCTCTTAAAAAATAAATGGAATTTGAGTATGCCTAACTCTGTCCTAGATTTCATAAACAATGCACATATTTGTGGCTATAGTTTATAAATGCAATACTGAATATGGTTTGAGAAAGGATTTCTTAAGCCACAGTTACAATGGAATTTTGACTGAATGTCACATCAATCAAATGAACCAATATTGTGACATAAAATTATTACCATCCAAGGAAAAACACAATTAAAATAATGTGGCTAGTTGCTTTAAAAAAAGAATAAGATTGGGTTACACAACAGCAGTTCCTAAACTTGCAAACTACAATCTTCCCAAGAGCTTAGATTAATGCAGTGGTCTCTAGATTTCTAGAGTTCAGGAAAATAAACTTCTCATTAATTTAAAATTATACATTCGGGAAAAACAAGTGAAAGTATTGTGGCACCATAAAAATTAGCAATGTTTTTGTGGCATAAACATTCATACGCTAAAATTCACTTCATCAGAGAAATGAAGGGAAGAATAAAATAATTGTAGAGTCAAATGACAATTGGACACAAAACATAGACTGTGGAAATTAAATTAGTGTTTAACTCTAAATAAAATAATCATAGAGATTATTCGTAAACAGTTATTATTGGAAACCAATTCTACTATGGCTCAGTTTATTAATATTTGTAGTAGGATGGGAGACATTTGCCTTTATTAATATACTGGGAAATAGAATCCAGGGTTGTTATTAGTTCTATTTCAGCCTTTTCAGGTTGTCATATCTCTTCTGAAATGCTTCTGTGGCAGAATGGCAACTTCATTTTTTGAAGAAAAAAAACCCTTTGAGCTTTGGTTTTATTTCATTGATCTTGAAATATGTTTTGATGTTATTATAAAAGCTTTAGATACTTCATCCAGAGACCTCCTTGCTATTTAGATCTTACAGATACCAGAGCCCCAACCAGGGGTTCATTTACAGTAGAGCAAAGTGTCAGTAATTTTAACTGCCATGGCACAATACTATGGAATCATGAAAGTTGTATTTCTACCAGTTTTAGCTTTTTTGCCAAAAAAAATTGCTGGTGCATCACAAGATTCCATAGTATTGAGCCATGACAGTTAAAATAGTGCCAAACTGCATTAATTCTACAGTGTAGATGCACCCTTGATGCAGACTAGATAGTCCTATAAGCTAGCCAGTGCAACTCATCATAGAAGGGATGTCAACACAGCAGATAAATGTATATTTAGCTTTCATCTTCCAGTACCTCAACAGCCTTTCCTACACCTTATTTCTACAGCTATGTCTATAGAGGATGGAAAAACACCTATTTCAGAGGCTTGCTTGTACTATTGGAAACATAAGCATATTCTTTCAAACTGTAACCTTCACAAAGTATAAAATCAAAATAAATGCCTTATTACCGAAATCCCTGTGGATTCCAAAACCGCTTCCAGATTCTTCCTATTCATGATTCTTCTCTGGAAACATGCATTTGCATTCCGGCTTCCACATCCATTTTTCATTTTCCTTGAGACATAGGCCTGAGGACTTCCAGAAGTACACTCACTTAAAATAACATGAGCTGTAATTAAAAGAATTCCATGTACATTGCATTACAATATAGGATAATCATATTGAATAAGATCACCATGGCTGTTTTCTTTTAATGGCAAAGAATGTGATGTATCTTTAACATTTAATCCAGTGTCTTTAACATTTAATCAAACATAAAGTCTTGACATTAGATCTTTTTAATTTGTTGATAACATGTTTATATGACAATAAAGATAAGCAGCATTAATAGCAATTTGAGATTGTCTTGAGTCCCTTTAAGTACTAATCTGGTATTGAGTCTTACTAAAAATGATGGAATTTACATATGAATAAGAATCTAACATTAAAAATTGTTGGGTAAAGGAACTGTAATTTTATTGTAATCTAAATTCTGTGTAGTACTTTCCAAAACTGTTGCTATTGAATAGAAATTATTTTAATTCTTCTTCTCTTTATCAAATAAAGTGTTTGACAAATAAAATTGCATTCAATCTAATACTGTGGTAGTTCCTCCTTAGAGAGTGAGCCTTCACTTTTGGAATTCAAGCCATTCAGTAGTGGGCCACTGGTTGGTGGATTCGTATACCGAGGCTGCCAGTCTGAAAGACTATATGGAAGTTACATATTTGGAGATCGCAATGGGTAAATTTCTGAATTTTTTTTTAAGTGCAGAAAATCAACAGCTTTGAAATGTCTACATTGTATATATTGATCATAATATCCTTCTAGGTCACTTTGCTAAGATGTATTCTAGAAGTATAGTGTTATTTTAGCTCTCTTGATTTCTGGAAGATCAGAATTGGAAAGGGATGTTGAAAGATTCAATTTTCAGTACATGATTATTTTTTTCAAAATCCACATAAAATCATTGAAAAATGTAATCAAAATGTCTGGCCGAATATAGCACCAGCACATGGATGACATACAGTGCTACTTTTCTTTCCCATATAGTGCCACAATGGGGCTAGATTTGGCAGCAAATGCCGATCTAGCCCTGATCAACCACGGAACCAGCTGGCTCCATGGGTGCAGAGGGGCTGAACTGGCATACCACCTCTGTCTTGGCAACATAGGAGGCTTCCTATGTTGCCCAATGTATGGGGGGAAGCCGTGCGCACTACACATGCTCCAGTCTTCCCCTCTTGTTAGATGGGCAATGCAAGGTGTGGGGTGCCAGATTCCCCACACCTCGAGGCAAAGCGGACCATTGCCTCCTTCTTCTGCCAGCCATCTGATGAGGTGGCCAGAGACATAGTGGGAATCCTGAGCCAATTTGTGAAGGAAGTTCAGAGATGGGATAAATTAGGATCATCTCAAAAGAAAGAGATACTGTGGGCTGGAAAATCTGCTGATCTAGATGAAGATATCCTCTCTACAACTAGATGAAGCATATCCTCCAATTGTCCCAATTTGCCAAGGAAAATCTCAATGAATCCTCTGTCATTCTGTTTTTCAGCTGCTTCTAAAATGTCCCAACTCTTCTCTGTTCCTCTCACTTTGCCCCTTTGGCCTCAATTGACTTGAATGTATTTCAAAGTGATTTGCATTCATCTCATTTGAGGGAGAGCAGAAAGGGTGACATCTTTGCTCTCCCTGTAGATTCAGGTGCTACAGCTTTTCCTATCTTGTCTGTTTTCCTCGTTTAATAACTTTTCTAACTTGACCACATACTGATGTTTCTTTGTCACATTTGTCCAGTTTTCTTTGGAGGGTGTGGTTTAGCCACTGGTTTGGATGATGAAAGACTAGTCTGCTACTTGGTGATTTTCCCCAGATTCAACACACAACGTGGCACAAGTGGCCTTGGTGTCTGGTTCTATCTTTTACCAACTTAAGTTGATTCACTGGCTGCAACTCTATGTTCCTCTATTACCCATTCTCTGGTCACAAGCAGACCAGAGTTTGGAAAACTTACTTTTTGGATTTAGAGTCCCAGATTCCATGCCATCAGTACTAGCAGTAATTGTATTCCAACCAAACAATGTTTTTCCATGTTCTGATACAGATTAGACTATTATAATGCACTTTGCTTTTTTAAAAGGTTCAAAAATGTCAACTCATGCAGAATTCAGTCTCTAATGGGGGCTAAGTACAAAGGACATATAATGCCTATATTGGACCAATTGTGTTGCTTGCATAGTTGTCTTTAGTCCCAATTTAAAGTGCTACTAGTGACCTTTTAATACCTAAACACTTTTTAATGTAGTTATTTAAAACGAAACCCCACACCACTGGCAATCTGATGAATGAAATTATGGACATCTAGCAAAAGTTGAAGGGTTAGGGCAAACAGCTTTGGAGTTATTAGAAACGAAAGTTCAAAAGAACCATTCTAAATTATGTTTGTATACATATGTGTTTCTGAATGTCACTGACTTATTGTGTAAAATTGGAGTGTGAGAACTTGCACCATCTCCTGGTTTATAGCGTATAGTGTAAAGGGCTCTTGTTTAGATATCTCCTTTTTAATTCATTTATCGTTCTAGAAAGGACTGGGTATGGTCTAATCATTTGTCTTATGTATTTACAGAAATTTTTTAACACTGCAGCAGAGTCCCATGACCAAACAGTGGCAAGAGAAACCACTATGTCTAGGCAACAGTGGTTCTTGCAGAGGTTCCTTTTCAGGACATATTTTGGGTTTTGGTGAAGATGAATTAGGTAAGATGATAACAACAATTTAAATATATTTGTATACTGAAATACTCAAAGAGGAGCAGAGAAGGGGATGGGATGGGAAACCGGGAAGAGGAACATCTGGTGTTGCATGGATTTCTGGAAAGACAGAGGGAGTAGTTTGAAAAAAAGGGGGGAGGGGCAAGAGAGAGCTGCTGCTATAGGAGCAGCTGCCGGAACCATTTCCCACTGCCCTTGCAGCGTAGCTTCAAACAAACCCATCAAGACCTGCTACAAGGGCAGATTGTAGGAGCTGTGGTGGCTTCTCCTACAGTAGTGGCCTTGGTAGATCTGGATTCCCCTCCACTTGTCCTGCTCTTGCCCTCTTCCCCAGCCATTCACCACCTAATCTTTCTTCCCCCCCCCACCCCAACACTCTCCCATCCTATCCCCTTCCCCCTCCCACCCAAGTGAGTGAGTGAGCAAGTGATCGACTGAGGAAACTTTAAATGCCATGGCCTAAACTGAATGAGTTCATATTTGAAAGGGAGGGGGAAGTGTGACATCAATAGATCAAACTAGGGTAGGACAAAGGCACTGGAGCCAGCCCTCATGTGGGTTGTATCCTCATGTAAATTCAGCCCATGTAAGCAAATTCATCAATATACACTGTGCAAATAGTAGTTATAAATTTCCTAGTTGGTTATATTTGAAGTATTTGTTGATTAGCTCATTGTTGTGATTTTTTTTATTTACTTTGAAATATAAGTACTTTAGTGAACACCATTATTAATTTATTGCATTTGCTTGCTCAACAGGTGAGGTTTACATCTTATCTAGTACTAAAAGCATGACACAATCGCACAGCGGAAAACTGTATAAAATTGTTGACCCAAAAAGGTAAGAAATTATTTATTAAAAATAAGACAAAAGTCATTGATGAATATCATTTTGGTTTCCAGATACATCAACAGAGAGGATAATCTAAGTTCTGGTCTTTGGCAACTTGTTTAAAAACAGATGTTATTGTAATCAATAGAACCTGTTTCCAAGTAAATATTAGAATCAGTGCATTGGGATGTAAGTCTGGTTTCAATCTTGCTATCAAATGATCACATTCTACATTTGTGTGTATAAAAATATGAATATTGAGTACATGGATAAAACCATGAACTTGGATGTTATTAATTCACAATTGAACATGAAAAATATGTGAAGATTCATACAATGGTTTAATTATCCTACTTTATGATTCAGAAGGGTTAAGGAGAAAGAGCACTAGTACTATACTTTCAAGACAAGAAATCTGTCTGTAAAACCATGAGCTAAGTACAATGAGCAAAAAAAAAAATGTAATTTGAAATGTCCGAGAGGTGAAAAAAACATATTATTATGCAATGGGTCCACAATATTTATTACATAAACAGAAGTTCATATGCAGCCAGTCCAGCTAGATTTCTATGGAAATTCTGCAATTCTTGAAGGGCATTTTCAGATGCTGAAAAAGATGAGTTCCATAATTACTATATAATCTGAAATTTATATGCAATCCACTAAGTTTTTATTGGAAATTCTGTAAGGGTGTATTCAGATACTGGAAAAGATAGGCTAAGGTAGAAAGTTTATTGCAGATCCTATAACCAAGGGAAATCTAATAAATAACAATTAAATAGGGATGGATGTAAATCATAAGCACGTTCGGTATGTTGCACTTGGCCGCTTTATATTGCATGACTATAGTTTGCATGCTATTATTGAGTCTTCATAAAACCTGGTTTTAACAATCTAAGTAGTACAAAGAACATATTAATCATGCATCTTTATTGAGAAGGAAAGAGATATTATGGAGAATTAGCAGATAGAGTAGATGGTATGTTCTGGATATTTAACTGTTGATATGTGCAACAATTAACAAAAGTACAGAGGACTCATTTTTAATAGAGGAGGGCCTATGTATTTCAGAATTCCAAATGAGTTAACAATACAGTTATGTTATAGGAAAGTTCGAATGCTTAGACATGGATTTGCCACAGAACTGCAGTTCTATTAACTAGGAAGCAGATGTTACCGCAGTCAATCATGTGTATTATATTTGTTTTATTTATGATTTCTAGTGGAAAGTATTTTTACAAAACAAATATTGCTGACTTCATTTGAATTGTTTAGTCTATTGGTGTGTGGATTTAGGTGAATTTTACACCTTTAATCCACTATTAGTATCTAATTACAAGGGGGTTGCTTTGTTTGACCTTGGCTTTGTGCTCTTGTTGCCTCGGCGATTAGGGTGGTCTCACAGTGACATACCTGAAAGGCCAGACCTCCCAATGCAGAGTCCCTGGTTAGCTATTTATTGTGTGGCGGAGGATAATATATCTGACTAGAATAAGACAAGAGGGTAAATACACTGTGTTAATGACAGCAAGTACTCTGGATTAAATTTGAAATTAACTGATAAAATGGAATAGTTATCAGGATTTTACAAGGTTTCTATTTCTGATGTTTTTACATGTGTGCAACATTAAACAGTACAGATTTAATACAACTTTCAAGTGATTCAGCTGATCTGCAAAATATGGCTATCTATGCTACAACATCAAATGTACAATACTCAAAACTACTGTACATTTGGAAATGTAGGAGTATATCAATACAGGGATTCCCTGAGTTACAAACGTCCGACTTACAAATGACTCATACTTAAGAATGGGGCTGAGATAACAGGAAGTGAGAGAAATCTACACCTTGGAAGGGAAATTCACTCCTGAAAGAATTATCATAGGGAAAAGGTGTCTCCACTGAAGATTTAAATAGGACAGTTCCAGACAGCCCTGTAATTCAGGAGAAATCGCATTTAAAAATGTGATTCCACCCTTGTTGTAGTAGTCCACACGTGCCTCAGAAAGCACAAGTGTCCAGATGCCCTACTGGAACCTTCTGCAAGGACAGGGAGACAGCCCCCTCCCCCTCCCAAAACCCCTTTAAAAATGGGGGGGGGGTGTAAAATAACTTACCCAGCCTCCATGAAACTGCTGCCAACCCTCTGCTGGCATGTAGGAATGCTGCTCCAGGAGAAGGGGAGCCAGGAGCAATTTTCCTTTTCCCCTCCCCTTCTCCTGGCATGCTATTCCTACATTCCAGCAGAGGGCCGGCAGTTTCATGGCAGCTGGGTAAGTTATTTTGCTTTCCCCCATTTTTAAGGGGTTTTGGGGAGTGGGTTAGAGCCCTCTTGCATTTTTCAGCCTGATTCAGCCTGGAAAACACGATGTGCATTCTGGGACTTCTGGCGGGACAGTCCAGACTCCTCCCACAGCGGAAAAGACACAAGTTTTTCAAGAAGACCTGCTTCTTTCCTGCTAACAAATAATCTCAGCACAGGGTTTTCATGCTTTGTGCTGAATGCAGTTGCTTTTATGTGGGGCATCATTTGGATGCCCCACTTGAAGAAGCGGGAGGGTGCATATTTTAGGGCCTGTCTGGATGGCCCCCTTGTTTCCACAACAAACTAAATTTTTCAAAATCCAATTATCACAGGGAGAGAAAGTGAGGTGAAATGATCTGAACAGGGGCACAGACAGCAAAACAAAGAGTAAAGAGTTGTTAAGCCTTCTCTGTGCTATCCAAAGCTTGTGTGTGTGTGTGTGTGCGCGCACACGCACGTGTATGTTACACTTAAAATGTACCTGTTCTGACTTACATAAAAATTAAACTTAAGAATGAACTTACAGAACCTATTTTGTTCATAACTTGGGAATAAGCTGTATTTGTTCAGAGTCTTTCATTGCTTGTGTGCAGTAGTGACACAACTTTCAAGTGATTCATACATGCCACTTTATCTGGACAATTCTGTTTATATGAACATGTGCAAAAGGAAGCCTGTGTGTATACAGTTAAATTTAAAGGAAGAATTGTCCTGAAATGAGAACGTGTTTCTCTTCTCCAATTCAAATTTGTTTTTGTAATATAATTCAGCTTTTGGGGGATTTTCTTTTGGGAGGGATGAGTGCCAGGAGAGGCAGATATACGATGTAAATAGCACTCTTGGGACATCATAGTACAAAGTTTGCATTCCAGCCCTTTTTCTTGAACATGATGCCTTAAAGTTAAATCTTCCCCAAACCAGTGGCCTTTGTAATGTGTTAGACAACATTCCCATAATTCCCAACCAGCGCAAGCAATGATCATGCCACTGTCATTGATGAGATTTGCAATCAAACAAAGCTGGAAGGTGTAGGTTGACAGAGAGTTGACTCAGGTCATGTATTAATATTGAATGACATTATATCATCATGACGTGATGCAACAAATAACTTTCTTGAGGCAATGGTTCCTGATTATGCATTTCACCTTCTTTCTAATGCTGTTCTTAATTGAGATGTGTTGTGTGGGTCATCTTTGCCAAAATCATCTTCATGTGCTTGGTTGAATTTAAATAACACTATGAAGCTAGGTAAGAAATAGATGCCATCAAAGCACATGAACCCAGTTGAATTAAAACTGTGCCTAGTCCTCTGAGGCAGAATGAATGCTTCAATATGGTTCACCTTTTAAAAGCAATATCTGATTAGATCATTTGCTTATCCAAATGCAGTGAAGTTCCCCACATAAAAAAATCTTTGAATCCTCAAAGCCAAGTATTTTAACTTTATAGCAACAACTGTGGAGGGTTGCCATTTAATCTTTTTTTTTAAAAAAGGCTCACATATCTCAATTTGTACACAATACTAACCCTTGCTCCTCCCAACCATAGCTATTAAGAACCTCTCTGCATACTTCACTTTATAAAGGAGGGGAAATACCTATCCCATTTATGTTTTGCCTGTTTTCTGGTACGGGCAAAGAGGGCTGCCTTCTCTGCTGCTATAAAGAATGCAATACATAATTGAGCAGCTTAGCCCTGTAAGCTCGTTCTTTCCTGATTCATCCGTCAAACTGCTATGCAAGTGGCCCCCTAAATTGATAAATTCCCACAGTGCCTGTTGACCCAGCTGCCAAGGCCGCATACAGCAGGTGTTGTTTTCATGACCACCCTGACAGTAATACAAACTGTTTAGCGGTTGCATTGACCTCACAGCTATTAACACTGATACAGGCTCCGCTGGGGACTAGTTTTCAAATATGACAGAATTTCTTAAAGACTAGAGGTCATGAGCAAGTATACCATATAAGAATAAATTTGATATGCTGCTGAGTTTAAAAATCTGAAAGCAAGGGAGATTCTTTTTCTTCCTCCCTACATCACTCCCCTGTTGTAAATCAAGTAATGAGCACTTGGCGGGCCTCCCAGGACTGAAGCAAATGCATTGAAAAACCATACCTGAAATGTTGCTGTATTTATCCCAAGAAAAGTAGTCACTTATCATCATATATTATATGTGTAGTTTGCAATTTGGCCCAAGGAGAGGGAAAAAAACAGAAAACGTTTCTGTTAGTATACTTCGAGGGCAAAAAACATTGTATTTCATCTCTGTTCCTTCCTCTACCACCCCAGCCCAGCTGAACAAAGATGACTTTATGGGTTAATCTTTCTGCTCATATGATGGTATAATTGTTGTAACTATTGTTGCTTGAAAAGTGAGTCTTTGTGCTTGTGTCTGTGGATTTTTGTCAGTCTTTGAAAAGTTACTTCTAGGCAGAAGGAATATAATGAATAGCATGCTGAAACCATGTATAATTTTAATTTAGTATTTGCTAAATAATAAATTAAAAATGTTTACACGCACACACAGGGTAGAATCTCACTTGTCTAACCTTCACACATCCAACATTCTGTATTATCCAACACAGTCTGCCTCCCACCCAGATCCACAGCTGTTTCAATACATTGAGATGTTTTGGTGCTAAATTCATAAATACAGTAATTAGTACATAATGTTACCGTGTATTGAGCTGCTTTTTCTGTCAGTTTGTTGTAAAACATGATGTTTAGGTACTTAATTTGTAAAACCATAACATAATTTGACGTTTAATAGGCTTTCCCTTAATCCCTCCTTATTATCCAGTATTTTCGCTTATCCAACATTCTGCTGGCCCGTTTATGTTGGATAAGCGAGACTCTACTGTGTGTGTATGTGTGTGCGTGTATACACATACACACAGGATATATATATATATATATATATATATATATATATATATATATATCCTGTCTTTCTCCTAACATGAGATGCAGAAGCAGCAGTGGTGGGATGCCACTCTGGGTTCCAGGCCAGCTACTCAGGGCACATCCAGACAGCCCCTTTAACACGGGAGTTCCCACAATTAAAAGGGGGACGTCCAGATGACGTCCCAGAGAAACCCTGGTTTGTCGCAAATTTAATTGTTAGTGGGTTTATTCCATGCCTTCTTGGAAGGCGCGGGATAAACCCACTACTTCCACTGTCTGGACTGCTCCCTCAAAATTTCTGGACTTATGAGGGGGCAGTCCAGACAGTAGTCCTGTGTTTTCCAGACTGATTCAGTCAGGAAAATGGCAAGGGCACCAACCCCCTCCCCACCCTACCCCCCACCCCACAAAACCCTAAAAAATAAAAAAGGAAACTCACCGGGAGCCATTTGGCTTCTTCTCCTACCTGATGGAACATACCAATGACTCCCAAAATGAAGAGGGGTCCCAAATCACTCCTGGCTCCCCCCTCTATTTTTGGACATCATTGATATGTTCCCTCGGGTAGGAAAAGAAGGCAAATGGCTTCTGGTTAGTTTCCTTTTTTATTGTTAAGGTTTTTGGTTTTTTGTTTGCGGGGGGGGGGGGGTTGGATGGCCACATGTCACCTTGAAAGTATTTGGGATGGCATGTGGACAGCCAAAGGGGGAAGCCCGTTTTTCCCCTGCCTGTGTGAATTTAAACCCCTTTGGTTTCTTAAACCTGCTCCGAAGTGGGTTTAATGCATGTGTGGAACTTCCCTCAGTTCTTAAAGGCATGTCATTATGTCATTCTTCTTAAAAGTGAATGTTTTAAGCCTACTTTGGTAGGGCCTAAAACTTAACTAAAGTGGGAGGATTGTTCCCTCTGATGCTAGATAGCTTCCCAGGAGTCACTTAATATTTCAGTGCACACTAATTTTTATGAAAACACAATGGTGTTTTTCATCTTCATATGACATCATTCATTATAACAAAAACATAGAGTTCAAGTTGGCATTTATGGGGGAATGGACAAGTTGAAGGAAAACTTTTTTAAAACCCTAATGAAGTATGCTGATGAAGTTGTTGCTTGCGTCTTCCTTGAAAATATTGCTGCTGGGTGCTGAATCCTATTCTGTTCTAAAATGTAGATATTTCTGTAAAATACATTTTTCCACACTTGATTTTTTCAACAAAAAAAGCTTTCGGGATTTTTTGGAGGAAAAAGGTTATTTCAGCCAACATGTAAATAGTTTCTCTTTGACCCTGACTTTGAAATAAATAGGTTGTCTGTTTATTTTTCTACAGATCTTTAGTCCCAGAAGAATGCAAAAGAACAGCTCTTCCTGCACAGATATTGACATCTGAATGCTCAAGGCATTGTCGAAATGGGCACTGCACTCCCACTGGAAAATGCTGCTGCAATCAAGGTTGGGAAGGCGAGTTCTGCAGAACTGGTTAGTACTCATTTCACTGTAATCTCTGAACACATTTTGGGACTATGTTTTTTAAATATATTGGCGCTTTTAGAAAATAAATAGTGGATACATAAAAAATGTAGAGGGAGAAACTAGGAGGTTCAGACTCAGTTTATGAATTCATAATTTAATTTTTGATTTTACATCAATATATTAGATTAATAGTGTAGAAGAATTCTACATATTGCTCATATCCAGGGTGTATAGGATTCTTTGGCCATATCTGGAGATTATTATTGTCATTCTACAGAAATTTTCCATTATTCAGATGCTCCTCTCAGCAGAACCTTTCAGCTAATTACTTAGTAAACGTAAGGATGCTAAGCCACACAAACAAACCTGCTGTTTTGGGGAAATGTGAGAGGTACAAGTGGCTCTCTCAAGGGGAATATTCGGTTATCAAGGCAGAAGCTGAACAGCAACCAGTTCTCATAGCTACCCACTCAGAGTCTCTCACAGAGAGAAAAAAGCTTAGAGTTCTTTGTAAAATATACAAAAGTAGCTTTATTTACAAATACAGATGCAACTTCTTGAGAATAAAAGAAAGAATGCATATGACATGGCATCAGACGAAAGGTTTTGTATAATACCATGGGGAAAACATTCTGCAAAATGTATGTGCTAATGGAGGAGAAAGAGGGAGGAAAGCAAAATGTCTATAGGTTTGGATGATACAGAAAGAGGGAGGGTGTGGAAAAATCAAAGAAACCAGAAATCACTATAAACACAGTATATTTGCTGTCTTTGGAATAACATGCCAACTAGCAATTAGTGAGTATGGGCATGCTAAGGTTGCTGCATCTAATACTGGTTGCCAGAAGATCAAGACAAGATAGGAAAATGATACAGTTGATACAAAGAGAAGGGGATGTGGCTAGAAAATCACTAAATCCTGTGGCAGCCTTGAAAAAACATCTCCCTCTTACAGTATGAATGCCTAGAAAGCCTGAAGACAATTTCTGAGTATTCAGAAATAATTATACAAGGTAGAGATGATTTGCTCCAGGGTCCTAGATCCCTACTTTGGAATATCTGGGGTGCTCCATAATGCTCCTTTCCAGTAAATCCTGATCCTTCTTTGAACAAAATAAAATGTACTTTTGGAATTTCTTTATACATTTCCTTACTATTTTTAAATATCTTGTAAGAACTGATTATAGTGCTCAGAAAGCTCAAGAAACCAGACGAAAATTGTAAAGCATATGGAGGATGAATTCTATTCAGTAGACAAAAGCTATATTGAATTACATTTTTTTCCAAACGACAACATAGTTCTATTATTTTTAATCCAATTTTAAAGTAAATAATCATTCCCTAAAGGCACCAGGTCCCATATGATCTTTGAAGCTAAACAGATTATTACTCAAATAGGAAGCTTCTAACAAATAGGTCAGCAGTTCAGCAGCACAAGGGTTTAACCCATTGCACCATCATGATCATAGAGTTGGAAAAGACCACAAAGATAATCCAATCCAGTCCATGATGATAGCGAAGTGGCATCTGTTTTCTTAAAAGTGACTTATTTTCTAATCCCAAGCAGCATTTAAATTTAGTTATTTGTTGTTCTTGTTTGCTTTTTGTAACAGCAAAATGTGATCCAACCTGTCGACATGGAGGTGTCTGCATACGACCAAACAAGTGCTTGTGTAAAAAAGGCTATCTTGGTGTTCAGTGTGAACAAGTGGATAGAAACATCCGAAGAGTGACAAGGGCAGGTATTCTTGATCAGATCATAGACATGACATCCTATCTGCTGGATCTAACCAGCTATATTGTATAGTTTCTGGGACTGTTTGGATACTACATTTTCAATGGGCATTTATTTTTGAATCTTTACTTTTTTCCTGTTTTTTTTAAAAAAGACTGTTATCCTGCTTTACAACTCCAGTGATTCCACTGAACCTGTAGATCTGTCTTTTGCATTTTTAGAGAAGCAGAACTGTATGATTCACGCACAAACATCTGGTTGCATAACTAGTGGAACAGTAAAATTATATTTCTTCATGTGAAGTAGTTTACACAGAAACTCCACTGTTAGCCGCAAATAATTTTTTGGTGATGTCCCAATGAACCTTTCGATGACCCGCCAATTTCGTGTCTAAAATTATTTAACTACAGCAATCATCAAAGGAATTTTAAAACTGCTGGACAATATTAAAACTTTGTTTTAAGCCCTGTTAAGGTGCAACAAATGGCAAGTAGGTTCATGTACCCAATGGATATTCACATACAATAAACACACTGCCATTGCTCCCCTTGCATAAAAGGCCATCCTCTGGCCAGTATAAAAGAGCTATTATAGTAAGACCTGTCACTCACTGGAAGCTGCAATGACCAAACTGTTGTAGGAAAATGGCAGTTATGATGTGGAAAATATGGCCATCTGAGTACATCATCCCATTGTGAGACAATATTTCAGAACTCCTACATGCATTTTTATGTAGACCTCAATTTATTGTAAGATTGTAATCTATACCTCTATCAATGTCACAGAATGTTATGCACTTAACTACTTTACCTAGCATAAATGCAAAAAAAAATCTGTCTGTTGTAGTTTAATTTCTACACTGTTTCAAGCTCTTAATAATTAAATTAAATCTGCTTATTTTAAAACCAGTCATTTTGGAAGGTCTACTTTTTAGTGAGTATCTTATTTAACAATGGGCACTGGGTTTGTGTTACCTATTTATATTATTTTATTTTTTTTATAATATAGACATACCTAGATGAACAGCTTTGCCATATCCTGTAAAATACGAAAGTTACATTTTTCTACAACTTGATTGGAATAATGAGGAGGGAAAGAGTAAACACACTCCTTAATATGTTCTGTACCTAATACAGACATGTCTCTTTGTGTCAACCTTTGTTCATAATTGATGGAGAAGCAGCATCAACCAACCAAGCAGTCACTGTAAATGTTTATAAGAGTTCTTCCCACTATATCAGGATTGGCCCATTTCTATGCTATTAGAATCTATTACAGAATTCACACTGAATGGAACTTCACTGGATGGGAACTTACTTTAGTTAAAGCATTGACTTTGTAAGAGATTACGTGTACAAATCATAAAAATTATGAATATTGCCAAATATGGTTTAAAATGTAAATGTTTCTTGGAGAGTGAACCGAATACTGTTTTCCTTTTTTGTAAATGTATCAATAAATTTGATGTACATGCTGTATTCAGAATTGTTAAAGTATTAATTAATATTTGAACTATAGCTGCATCTTCAGAATTTAAAATGTTTATTTCTGCAATACTTGTGACCTGGTCTGTGTTCATACTTGCGATATATATCAATTTCTCTTTGTGCTATTGTTTTTACAGAAAAGTCTTCCCACACAGAGAGAAGGGAAGAGCAAGTGTGCCCTTCGTCCCACAGTTCATCAAACACCTGTTCCTTTGCCAATAGTGTGCAATGTTTTAAGCAATGTAGCTTGACACTTTAACCAAACATTCCCAGACCTTCGGCAAAGGGAATGCCTATAAAGTGAATTCTTCAGTCACTGAGTAAGATCACTCAATTTCATAAATTTTAGTACAGCTGTAGGTTGTAAGAAAAAATGAAAAAGACAACCTGTTCTTGTCCAAATGAAGATGTTAGAGAGAGAGCAAAAGGAAACATGGTCTACATTTGGCATCCACCTATGATTACTCTTGGGTTTCAAATGACCTCCTGACAAATGGAAATTGGTTGAGAAATCTTGGTCGAGTGCTTAGTGAACAATGGTCTGCATTAAAAAGTGCATGCATAATTTTGCACAATGTAGATCCAACTGACACTCCATTCAGAAAGGGTTCAGGATTAAATGAGCATGGAGAACCAAATTACCCTCTTGCCCAAGAAAAGGGTGGTCTCTTGCAATCCTACTAGCACCCCATTGGCTAAGCAGTGTGACAAATCTCGCAATGAACCTTGCAATAGTCTGCATCTGTAGGTTAATAGCAGGCTTTTGTCTCCATTGCTTTCTCCCTATAGTCCTGTTACTGAATCGCATCACAAAAAGTTTTACAATTTAAAATAAATGTCCTGGCAACCATTTTTGTACACTGACCTTACCATCTAATCTTCTCCTGTTCAACGTGGGGGTGACATTAACAAAATGTGAACCTCTAGAGAATAAAACAGCTGTCTACATCTGTCAGATAGAGCCATTTTACAGCACATAGTACTGTTCATAGCTTTGGCAAAATAGGAATAAAATTACCGCAACATTTACAAGCAACTCACATGTAGAATTTCAAATAGCTGGTATTCCCTTGCAAGCCTAGGGACTGAAGCAGATGGGAAGGCATTTATTTCCAAGTTAACAAAACTGTGCATGTTTCAAGCAAATGTTTTCAGTCCCTACATTTTCAAACAATTTAAATAATACACAATTTATTGTGGTAATACAAACCCTACACATTATCTTTCAAAGTTAAAGCTATCAACATGTTGATTCAGCATAAGCAATGCTATGTTGAATTAATGCGACATACCCCTGAGTATTGTTATTTATCATGTCAGAAACCAATTGAGGGTACAGGTATAATGAATTTTAAAAGACATATACACCGTTTATATCTACTCAGGGGTGACTTGCAGCATCCCTGAGTAATAATAATATAACTTTATTCTTGTATGCCGCCACCATCTCCCCGAAGGGACTCGCGGCAGCTTACACAAGGCACAAGATGCCTAAAACAAGACATGACATGAAACACAATATAAAATACAATTGAATAAAACATAAAAACTTGTGAAAACAAAACAAAACTCCATCAGTGGTGCTAGGTAATGCAAACATGGTTGCAAGCAATAGGGCCAGGAAAAGTATAGAGCTGTAAGTATGGGACAAGGGCATGGGCAAAGTGCAAGGCTGCATAACAAATTCATAAATCAACTAGAAACTAGATGTTCTCAAAAGCTTGAACAGCCAGGTCTTCAGGTCCCTATGAAAGGAGGACAGTGTGGGGGCTTGTCTAATCTCCCTGGGGAGGGTGATCCAGAGCCAAGGGACCGCCACCAAGAAGACCCTCTCCCTTGTACCCATCAAATGCACTTGAGACAGTGGTGGGACCGTGAGGAGGGCCTCCTTGGCAGATCTTATGAGCCCCCATACTGTCCTCCTTCATAGAGGGAGATGCAATCACAAAGTTAGGCAGGATCTGAACCGTTGAGATATAAATAGGATTGCACATTTGGTGGACTATACTATATATATAGTAATACATTTGTAAATTATTTGAGTGCTAATTAAAGTTCAAGGAATGACGAGACCCTAAAAATAAAGTTACAATAAATCATTTATTGCCAGTCAAAATGTGAAGTTGGGAGATCAATTAGTTTATATGGTAAAACAAACCAAAATTGCACAAGAACCAAAAGATATTTGTTCTTGGGTTCAGGTTTTTCTTTGGTCTTCCTCTTCTGGCTTACAGTTTGAATAAGGTTATTATGAAATCTTGTTATTGTTTCCACAGCACTATATTTTGGAATGGGAAGAGAAGACATCTTTCAGGTTTCCCTACTCTCAAATATACCCCACATAAATGTTTCTATTTACTTTATAAATTGAATTGACGGCAATAATTTATACATTGTGTTTTAAGAATGCACATAATAATCACACAACCATCTTCCTCTCTCTTGATAAATATGGTGTTATTAAATAGCTATACAGGCCATTTACCAAACTTTCTAAACATTTTGTGTGTCAGCGTGCTATCAAAAATGCAATGGTCAACTGGAGCAGTCAAAAATACATGAAATGCATGGAAGCAGGGAGAACCAAGTCATAATGGCTTCTAGAATTAAAGATGGAAGCATTTCCAATGTCAGTATCTCTATTTCCATTAATTTCATTGATTTATGACTGCCCAAACCTAGAGCGAATCCTACCATTAAACTGATGAGACAGCAAATGTGGTCTAGCAGCTCTGAAAAATCTGAATCTGTTCCTCCTAAATCTCAGAGGTAAGTCTTTTCTGTCTCTTGGAAAACATGGAAGTGTGTGTCATACTATCTGACAAAATACCCCTAACTCTCCTGCTCTCTTCAAGTATGGAATAGGAGTCTGAGCCATTGCTATTGTTTCAACTACCAATCCTATATGTGGCATGTGAAATATATTGTCTTTTGTTTCAGGCTACAAAATTACTTTGGCAAGTCCTGTCCAAATCTTAAACAACTAGTATATCTGTCATTATTAAGGGCTGCTCAATCACACAGTATGCAGACTCCATGTTTGTCTGCCTCTGGCAAAGCTGGATGGGAAAAGGCAGGATTGTTTCATAACGGTGGGTTAGTGAATCACAGTCCCTGTGTTGCATCACATTCTGGTAGTCATTCAATTCCCGTCGTGCCTTTTAATACCAGCCTACCCAGTGAAGCAAACATAAAGAAGTATGCATCACCAGAATCCTATTCTGGCCCACTTACAACTGGTTTGTAGAACAGAGCTGGACACATAGGGTCTTATGCAACTTTCATCATAATTGGGTATAGCCCCCATTCATCTCTGAGGCAAAAGCAATCAGTCCCTCCTCTGACAGCTGAAAGGAGTATAGGGAGGTAGTACTGGGAGTGAAAGTACAGAATAGAAAGACAGGATGAAATTGGATGTCCCCATCCAGATTTTCCTCCAAGGAAAGGCTCTAGAGAATGCATAGAGGTTCCTCTAGAGCAGTGGTTCCCACTCTGTGGCCCGTGGACCACCAGTGGTCTGCAAGAGCGAATATATGGTCCGCGGTCTCACCATTACTTCACTGTTGCCTCAAAACCACGTGGCAACCAGAGCGACTGATCTTGCGAAACCTTCTTATAGTGCCGAGGCAATGGAGATGTCAGGAGGGGAGAGGCTGACTACCCACAAAAGATTACTACTACCATATCAGCTCTAGATTATTACATATGCTTTTTTTTGGGAGAGCAGGTGGTGACTACTGGATGGCATATGTTCTGTATCAGAAACTAGAGCTGATGTTGTCCATCCAATGCAGTTTTTTGAATCAGCACCCCAAATAACCAAAGTGAATCTAAAGTTGACAAAAAACTGATTCATAACCCTTTTGGTACTAATGTTGAGAATGGCCCCTGGTCAAAGTGGTCCCTGTCCAAGTGTTCCCTGGTCAAAAAAAGATTGGGAACCACAGCTTTAGAGCTGCTATAGAGGTACTTGAATGCCATCATGAAGTAGAATTGTAATGAACTAAAACATGCTAGTATTTCATCAGCATTTGATGAAATGGTATGTGATAAGGAAACAGCAAATACAGTTTCATGTGTTATGAGGTTCAGCCCTTTATCCTTCTAAGCTTAAATCTATTTTTTAAATTCACTATTGAAACTTTAAAAGAAAGTATAGACAAAAAAAGACATCCTATTATCTGTACAGTCCATGTAGTGTGTGAGGGGTCTGAGCAATATGATCTTTGTGTAAAATTTGGGACCCTTTTTCCAGGGAGAAATTTTGCCAATTTCATTTTCCCCCTTACCACTATGCTACCAAAAGTTGATAATACTGTACAAACAGTCAAAATAGTATTTCCCTGCATTTCCCTGGCCTGCAAAGAGAGGAGTAGCTGAAGGGAAGATTCACATGTTGGATTGCAGCTTGCCTGTGCTGAGCTCCCAAAAATAGTTCTTTCCCCATGTGCCATATCTGGTGAGAATCCCAGCCATAAATCTTGCTCTGCCAAGATAAGATTTCTCTCCTTTCTCTTCTGAGAGAAGCACAGCTAGGCATCTCTTACCTCTTCCATGAGAGGAACCCTTTCCTCTGTTGAGAGAAACACACTTGGGCTACCCACCTGATTCAGCACCTATGGAGTGCTTTGGGGAGTTTGGTACAAGCATCCTTGTCCCCGGATGCTCTTGCCTTCATCCATGGAAGGGCTCCTCGCATATAATTGAGACTGTGTAACATGAATTCACATATATATGGCCTATGTAATTGAACGGTTTTAATGAATATCTAAAGAAACAAAGAAAATAAACATGTGCTCACTCCTCAAGTGACAGATTAATTTTGGTTCTAACTCTTCAACCTTCATTCAACAAAATTAGCCTTAATCTCATAATTTGCAGGATTATATTTACAAGAAGTAAAGTTTTTTTTTCATTTGAAAGTTTAACTTTTTAAAGCAACATACTATCTTTAAACTCTTTTCAAATCACACATGTGTGCAGAAATCTTCATTCTACACATTGCATGTTGTCATTGCACTGCTACTATATATAGGCATCTTACCATTATACAAAGATGGGAGGGATTTGATTCAACAAAGAATAAAGTGCCATATCCAACGTCTTGCTTTTTGATGCTGCACAATAAAATCTACCTATTGTTAATTAATGTAACTTAACATATTACTTATTTGTATGTTTTCCTGCAACTTTTCATGCATTGTCTATTTTATTATATATTGACAATAAAAAATCTACTTTTTAATCTTTCTAAATATGTCTGCTCTATCCCCTCCCATCCAACAAAATGCATATAACTGTAAATGGAAGGACTGTCTTATGAAATATCAAAAATAGGTAATGAGTTTGAAAAGACTGGTGGGTTTTGCCCATGTTTCTACACAGAGGCTCAAGAGTAAATGAAAATTCCATCTTCTTCATTCTAACCACCCTAAATAGAAAATGTGTAGCATGATTCAAACCTTTGAGAATTCTGTAGTAGTGCTGTCCTATGCAATCTATTTAGTTGCATTAATATGCAGCAAGGTTTCTGTGAACAACAAAGCATACTCCCATAAGCCCTTTTCTATCTCCATTCCCATGCATAGTCTTGATGAACCCCACCCAATTTGTTACTTCATGGAAGGAATGTTCATTGTGATGTGATGTGAAGGTAAACAGCTAATCCCCCTTCACACAATGCTGTTCTTAATCTGGACTAAGAGTGCTTCCAGACATAACTTAAACTCACACCAAAGCAGGTTTAAAAGATCAGCTTCAGTGCAGATTTAATACACAGCTCCCAAAACTAGGTTTTCCCGGGGGAGGGGGGTGTCTAGATGCCATCCTGGTACCTACTAGAATGGTACCCAGCCACCCTGAAGCCTCCCAAAACAAGCTTAAAATTAACAAAAACCTTACTGGGCGGCCATTACAGTCATCCTTCTGTACTCCTGGTGCGTAGAAATGATACACCAAGAGAACAAAAGGACCACCATAACTGTGGCGTGGTAAGTTTTTTTTAAAAAAAATACATTTGTTTTGGGGCTTGGAGGGAAGGGTGGGCACCATCTCTCAACTTTGGACTCCAGGAGTCCAAAAGGTGCGAGATGGCGAATGGGGAGTCAACCATATGTAGTCTCAGGACTACCTGGGGATGAGTCCCCACAGGCCCAATACCCCATTAGATCTGGGCCTTTCAGGAATGCCCGGATCTAATGGGGTATCTAATTAATTTGCTTTTACTAAGGGCATTGTTTGGACACCTCTGATAAAAGCATGACAGGCCACACATTTTTCAGCCTGTCTGGAAGAGCCCTATCTCATCATTGTGTTAAAAATTCACCCAACAGGTGGTTTGATCCTCAATCTAAACCAAGTACAAAGATGGACAGGAATTTCATCAGCTCTTTCATGCAGGCCTGCTGTAAAATATAAATGCACATCCTGATTCTCATTTGCTGGTGGCCTTCCTAAACTGGACTGTTGCATGCACACATTCCTCATGGTCCATACTGCTGATTGCTGTTTTTTAGAATATAGGATGACAAGATGCTGCATAAAATAGACATCTTGAATAGTAGTATAAATCACATTCAAGCAGTGGTTCTCAACCTGTGGGTCCCCAGATGTTTTGGCCTTCAACTCCCAGAAATCCTAACAGTTGGTAAACTGGCTGGGATTTCAGGGAGTTGTAGGCCAAAACACTTGGGGACCCACAGGTTGAGAACCACTTCTGTAAACAATAGGGCCAAGAAAAGTTCAGAGCTTTAAGCATGGGAAAGGGGCATGGGATAAAGTGCAAGGCTGCATAACATTCATAGAGTAACTAGGAAGTAGGCATTCTCAAAAGCTTGTTTGAATAGCGAGAAAGGGCCTTGGGGCCCATCAAAGGGCCAATTCAAATGCTGCACCTTGGAAATGCTTAGGAAAAATGCAAAAAGCTTTACAAAATAATCAATCCTGGACATACAACACAAGGCAAGCATCTATGTGAACTTCATCCTCCTTGCCTATCAGACTAGGACTGAGGCACCTTCTACACTTCCATATAATCCAGATAATCAAATCGGATAATCCACACTATCTGTTTTGAACTGGGTTATATGAGTCTACACTGCCATATAATCCAGTTCACAGCAGATAATCTGGATTTTATATGACAGTGTAGGAGGAGCCTGAGTCCACACACATACACAATCATAATTAATGGGCATAGATCCATAGACACTCAAAGTGCCTGTTCCACCAAAAAGAATTTTGCTTTGGGCACAAAAGTAACTCCATTCCAGTTAGTAGCATTGAAAAGTAACTAGCTTCCAAAGCACTGAGTTTTGATCAATAGTGTGACCTAGTGAAGGCAGGTTCTTCTATACAGTCTGCTCCCTTTGATATCTTTTCTTTCTTGACATTGGCTTTGTGTTCTATAAGGACAACATGAGAAACAGAAAATGAGAAAATCTGCATTGTGATTGACGGAGGTGCACCTTTGCCTCTATCAAGGAGAAGGGCAGGGGGAATCAAGCATTTTTTAAAATCCTCCCTATTAACTGTGCTTCACCCTGCTTTTGCTTATTATACATCACCCCTCAAGGAGGGACAAAAAAAAGCCTTCAATTTACTAGAATCTGTTACACAGAAAAGAACATTGTAAGGCTATCTAATTACTGGGCATATGGTCCTGCCATCATGAGCGAGCTTAGTGTGCTTTGGTGATTTATTAAGAAGTTACAAAAACCTGCTGACATATTTATATGCCTTGTAATTAATATGCACCTGACCTTTCATTTTTGTTCTGCAGAGAGTTTACACTGGGGTTTTACCTCGAGCCCTGGGAACGCTCAGCTGGCCTGTCCTACAAACCTCTGGCTTTAAAATAATCTCACCAAAATGAGAGACGTGCTGGTCTGTGATTTCAGGATGGTGTCCATTTGGACTAACAAGACTTTGATTCCTGCAACAGCTCCAAACAACATCTGGCTACACCCTCACCCCACCCCACCTACACACACTATTGGTGCACACATCCGCGCACTCATTTCCTGACCCCCTTCTGTGCATTAAAGATACATTTTGGCACACAGGAGAGCTCCAGTGTTTTGCCTCAGTCATCTGGGTCTCTCCGAGCCAACCGTGAGGAAGGGTAGAATCACCTGACCGGTTTGGAATCAAAGCCTCTGCTCTGCGAAGCCGGCCTCCTCCTCGCCATGGGTGGAGAGCACACCTGCTCCAAAACATAATATTGTTGCTGCAGCTGCAGCTTGTAACAACCATGGAAGGCTCTGCCACCTCCATTCCTAAGGAAGAGATCAAGAGAGAAGGAAATGGGGAAATTTTTAAAGAAATGTAAAAACATAAGTCAAGCATTATTTAACCCATTACACATATATTCAATAAAGTCGGACTTGTGTAAGTGACAGAAATGTAGCTCAGCAGGCTGGTCCTCCAAGCGTGCCTTGAACGCTGGTGGATTAGGGTGACATCAGGGGTGCTCTGACAGCTGTTTATGAACTTTGTCATCTCACAGTTCCAAAAACACCCACTGCTTATGCTGGCTGCAATCACAAATGTATTTATGCTAGTGAAGTTTCCTCGAAGCAGTCAGGGCTCCAGCAGCCCAAGTACATTCAGGACGACAGAAAGGAAGCCCAAGAGGAGTGTAACCATATCTGGGCATACACCACCAGCTCAGGCTAACACTAACATTCATCCCATCAGTTGTAGTGTTATGACAGCTACCAAGTTAATATTCTCCTCCTACTTGGGTTCCCAAGGCTGCTTCCATTTTCCTTGGGCATTCTTTGGGTTTTTTTCATTAGGCCAAAGACAGCTATCTCTGACAACAGATATTGGGTGTCATGAATTTAGTTATTTAATATTTATTTTTTATTTATTTACAGCATTTTTATCCTGCTCTTTTCAGCCCAAAGGTGACTCAGGGTGGCATACAGGTTGGCAACAATTAGATGCCACAACATATAGCAATTAAAAACATTTAATATCACATAGTAAGATTCCATATAAAACCATTAAAGCTATAATCATCAATATCTTCCAGTTCAACTCCTTATCCATTTACATCATTTAAGCCATACCATGTTTGGTATTTCATCATACTGTGTTTATCTGGTTACGCTGCATTTCCGAAGGCTTGCTCCAAGAACCGGGTTTTTACTCTTTTCCAAAAGGTCAGGAGGTAGGGGGCCAATCTAATATCCCTAGTAAAGGAATTCCACAGCCGAGAGGCCACCACTGAGAAGGCTCTGTCTCACGTCTCTGCCACACGCACTTGAAAGGAAGGTGGGATCAAGAGCAGGGCCTCCTCAAACAATCTTAAATTCCTGGATGGTTCATAAGGAGATATACGTTCAGACAAGTAAGCTGGGCTGGAACCATTTAGGGCTTTATAAGCTAAAGCCAGCACTTTGAATTGTGCTCGGTAGCAATCTGGGAGCCAGTGGAGCTGGCGCAACATTGGAGTTGTATGTTTCCTTAGCGCTGTTCCCGTTAGTAACCTGTCTGCTGCCCGCTGAACCATTTGAAGATTCTGAACAGTCTTCAAAGGCAACCCCATGAACAGTGTGTTGCAGTAGTCTATACGGGATGAAACCAGAGTGTGGACTACCATGGCCAAGTCAGACTTCCTAAGGTACAGGCTATTATTGTGTTGCTAGATATGAGGAGAAGAGTGTATGGGATTTTCTTCCTCTAGCACCAACATATTTTGATTTTGGGGGCTCAGCACCATAACCAAGAGAAGGAGGCTTGTATTATGTTACCTAAGGGAGTAAGATACCTTCAGACAGCCCACTTCCTATGCATTTAGAGTTGTCCATCTTGTAGTTAAAACTGATCCCTCCCCTTGTAAAATATTGTGATCAATCAGATTGCTTATGAAAATAAGGGCGATTAGGAAGCTGACCTCACCACTGGGCAGAATAAGGCAATTGAACAGATAGAGAGAAGCAGGAAGTGCTCTCAAGGTACTGAAGGACAGGGTTGTGTGAGCGATGTGATCTACCTTTGCAGGCCTTTAGTTAGTTTGCTGTCAATAGGTGTTATGATAGACCTTCTCCCATCATGGATTTTGCAGTAAAATTCATGATCCAGTTCATCTAGTTCTATACATGGAATCAACTGTTTTTTCTGTTACATCACAGAGCTTGAAAAGAACAGGAAGGAATTGTGTACTCCTGTATGGCAGGGGGTTGGACTAGATAGTCCTTGTGGTCTCTTCCAACTCTACCATTCTATGAGTTGGAGAAC